TCCACGTCCCAAGGACCCCAACAGCTACAGGCCGGTTGCTCTGACATCCCACTTGATGAAGACCCTGGAGCGGTTGATCCTGGCTGAGTTTCGGCCCCTGGTGAGCTCATCACTGGACCCACTTCAGATTACCTACCAGCCTGGCACTGGAGAGGATGATGCATTCATTCATCGCCTGTATTGTTCCCTCTCTCACCTGGAAACTGCTGGGAGCACTGTGAGAGTCATGTTCTTTGATTTCTCCAGTGCCTTAAACACTATTCTTCCCACAGTTCTGAAGGATAAGCTGGAGAACTCAGGAGTGGACCATTACCTCAAAACATGGATACTGGACTACCTCACCGACTGACCACCGTATGTGAGAACTCAGGGCTGTGTGTCGGACAGGGTCTTCTGCAATATGGGGGCCCCAAAGATGTCTTCAGCCATCTTTTATGGTGTGATCTGCTGGGGCGGCAGCATCTCTGCTGGGGACAGGAAGAAACTGGACAGGGCAATCCGGAGGGCCAAATCTGTTCTAGGATGCCCTCTGAACACAATGGAGGTGGTGAGTGACAGAAGAATGGTGGCTAAGCTGTCATCCCTGTTGGACAACATCTCCTGCCCCATGCAGGAGACTCTGACAGCACCGAGCAGCTCCTTCAGTGGCAGCTTGCGGCACCCACGGTCAGTGTTGGGAAGGTTACTTTTAAAATGTATTCCACTACAGATTACAGAATACATGCCCGAAAATGTATTTTGTAACGTATTCTGTTACGTTACTCAATGAGAGTAATGTATTCTGAATACTTTGGATTACTTAATATATTATGCTTTTTACAACTGCATGAATGTACTATTGCTGTGTGATTTATTACTATTACTGAAGGTCCACGGCTTCGAACCGTAGTAAAGGGACCTCTGGTTATTATTATATTTACATACTTCCAGCTCCCGTTTCTGCTCGATGACAGCTCGTACTTTTCTACTTCCTTTTTCTCCCTCCTTGCGCTCATATGGAAAAGATATATATAAAAGATATATATAAATCTTATAAAGTTTGTATCTGTCTTGTGTTAAACTTGTATGAAAAGCATATAAGAGTGAAAACAGATATAAGATCCCTTGAAAAATTATATAATGAAACTTGTATGTTTTGGATACTTACTAAAACAATGTATGAAAGTAATGAGAAAGTGGCCACTTTCATGAGTAAATCATGTAAGCCTTATATGATTTACTCATGAAAGTGGCCACTTTCATGAGTAATCACATATAAGTTTTTACTATTTCTTTTCCATATGGGACATAACGTGTATGGCAGTCCATTCTCCCTGCAGCACGGACTACACTACCCATGAGGCTACATTCTTTAGGGCTATGCCTGTAGCATTCTGTAGCTTAGCACAACAACAACAACAAAAAAGCGCTCTCTCACCCAGGAAACACACAGTCGCAGAGAGCGCGCCTCACCCTGTAACCATGGCAACCGTAACGCTGCCGCCTGGAACATAGCTGTCAAACAAAACCCAAACAGTCCTGACCCACGACAATATGAAACAGGAAAATACCACCGTGTATTCCATTTATTTCAACAAAGTAACTGTATTCTAAATACCACCTTTTTAAATGGTAACTGTAACGGAATACAGTTACTCATATTTTGTATTTTAAATACGTAACGGTGGTACATGTATTCCGTTACTCAACAACACTGCCCACAGTGTGGGATGGAGAGATTTCACAGGTCTTTCCTTCCTACTGCTGTCAGACTCTACAAGATGGTCTCTGCAGGTGACCACACACATGCGTACAGACACATCCCAGTGTCAAGTGCAATATTCCAATATAACAGTATAATTAGTACTTTGATCTATTGCATATAGTATTTTATTCTACTTTTTTAAATCTTATTCTATTCTATTGTTTTTCTCTCCTTATTTTTACTGGTCTTAACTTGTACTTTTTGCCATAACCAAAATATTTTCCACATGTGGGACTAATGAAGGTTTATCTCATCTTATAGCTTATGATTGTCATGTCTGAGTGTGGGCAGGCAGGGAGAGAGGACCCAAAATGCAGGACTCACTGAGGCGGAAGTAATTCAAAACACACAGCTTTATTGCTGGTAAGAAGCAGAACAGAAAAACACTAACTAAACTGGAAGAACGGAATGAGTAGGCAGGAAGGCTGGCTGGCAAACGGAGGAAGTGAGGGTAAACAGACGTTAACGATGCGACACCGAGTAGGGGAAGACACAGACACTAAATACAAGAGGTGAACGGAGCAAAGAGGAAACAGCTGGGAGACACGGCTGACGTAGATTACACTGACGAGACAGGGAGAGCACAAAGCTGAACGCACTGACAAAGGGCACAGACCTACAAAATAAAACAGGAAGCACACGCCAGACAGAGACAGACTCGTAAACAGGCATAATGACGTCATGGACAAACAGAGGGACATACGGGCAGAGAAGACTAAGCACAGGCAACCTAAACCAAACATAAGGGCAAGATAACAAAACCTAAACCAGAAATAATCATCATCAACATCATCATCAGATAACTAAAGAATCAGAATATAATTGTAATCAAAACAGTATCACCAGAGAATAACTATTCCATAATGCAAAATAAACCAAAACATAAGAAACTCAAAATACTGGGTCGACCCGACCCACTACCGTGACAATGATAATAGATCACAATTGTCTATCCTATAGGTAATACATATGTGATCTAATTTTTCTGCATCACTCTGAGACAGGATGCTTCTACATTTAGAGATGATGTGCAAATGCAAGAAAGCAGTCTTACATATTTGTTTAATATGCACATATGTAACCTTTACTGAAACCTGAGTGAAACTCTTTGAATGAGTCATTCCTCTGCAGATGATCAGTTAGCCATTTTAAAACTACTTTGAAGAGTATTTGAAATGAAAGGAAGGTTTGAGAAAGTTTGCAAGGTCAAGTGATGGCTTAAGTGATGACACATGTAAAAAAGCATGGATGCTCATGAGGATAAGAGTAAATAAAATAAGGAATGAGAACTTGACAAACACAGATCCTAAGAAGCTGGTGTGATCAATGGTACATGTGAACTGAGGCACGCAGCAGAACAACTCCAAATGATTGTGAAAGCACCTGCTCTGCATGTGGGAATGACAGCCCTGATATAAGATGTGAGAGATCCACTGAGTACTACAGTTGAACAGTTAAGTCAGATATATAATCCTGATTTTCATAATCTTTCCTACTACTGCTATGGTATGAATTGGCATACAGACACCTGGGCAAAACTTTAAACATAGTGGTGGTACAGGTGGCTTGAGAAGGCCTTTTTTTGTATGTAAGTGCATGGTGGTCAGACACGAGGGATGTTTTGCTACTAGTGGTAGATATGCAATATTTAAGTAAAATATAACTTACTAAGGGGCAGAAAAAGAGATAAACTAGAATACTCTGCAATAGAAATATGGCTAGGGAAGTGCCTTGTTCAAAATTTTTCAGAAGGAAGTACAGGAAAAATGTGTCGTTTAAAAGATTTAATTTGCTTCAGCAGCTGAAATTACAGGTTAAAGCGCTGGACCTCTCTGAGTGCAGCCACCTGTCTTCACAGAAAGGATGACCCTCATCGTGCTGTACAGGTTTTATACTGCGTCAATAAGAAATGATTATTATGCCAGTCTTCTTCCAGAACCCATCCTGACGTCTCCATTCGATGTCCTCTCCGTCTGCTCTTCGTCGACCTCCTATCTGCCCCTTTTTCCTGGAATCACAAAGACGGACACACAAACACCTCACTGCCTAGCCTTGATCATTTTAACATTACTGATACTAATATCTAGTTCAGGACATTTTGTTCGGACTCCCTTTGACCCCTATAACCATTATCAAGTGTAATGTGTAAGCATGCTGCAAAACCCTCTGCGCTACTACGTCATCTCAATATTTCAGCCCAGTCATACCACTGGATGAAGCTTCTGACCCTCAAACATGGAACGCCAACTTGAGCACACTGCACTGTGTGTATAAAAATAATAAAACAACTTTATTTAATCCTCTTATAACGCTAACAGAAGGAGGCATTACAATGATCTATAATCCTTTTTTTTTTTTTTTTTTTAAAGGGTCCTTACTCTTATAACTGCATGACATGTCAAGATGGTGAAAAATGACTTGGGGATTTCATTGCTCTTAGCACACGCTAGGAAGGAGAAAGAACTGATGGGAATGGTGAGGTAATGGAAGAACAAATAGATGAGAAGGAATTTGGATGTTCAAATGATGGACAAGGAACAAACATTAATATCAACTCAGGGGAAAAGTCTGCGCTGGATTTAACTCTAGTGTCAAGATCCGCAGCTGAAATTTGCAATTGGGATGTATGGGGGTAAGGAGGTATGTTACTGTTCTGCTGGAAAGGAATGATAATCCTAGAAAAGGATAACTTGTATAAAGACCACGTAGACATGCTGACCTCATGGTATGGAAATGGATTATGTAGGAATTTTACTAGCAATACTATAGTGGTCTGGCCCATTTAAGATTTAAATGCGCTGTATGTAACTCATATCATTGGTAGCATGACAATACCTTGGAGTGTTTTTAAGTAGGCAAAAGGGGCGCAGGGACAAAATTGGGGCATTCTAAAACTTCTGACCAGATGTATGTATGTGTCTGACTGATCCACTCACTCCCTGCCTCCGTCCAGGCCATGCGACATATGGTCATCTGCTCAACCACAGAGCTAACACAGCACTCTAGGGAGAAAGACATCAGGTAACTCATTTACATTATGTAGAGAGCAAGGATTCCTTTAGTTAAACTGCTGACGATAGGTAAGGAAAAATTTGAATGGAATCTTGCTGCAGTATGTATACTGTCGTTTGTCATACAAGTATATGAAATCATTCCATGTTTGAACATATAAGACTACCTGTACTTGAATGTCAGGCAGCGAGAAGTCTGTTATGAGTAAGGGGATCATTATTTGCTTTGGTCTGTTACAGAAGCGATGCCGTCATTTTGTGCCTGTGGGATGCCCATTTTCCTCAGTCTTTTCCTGATTTCATTTACACCACATTGCAATGGAGGAAACATTCTTGTGGTTCCTGTAGATGGCAGCCACTGGGTCAATCTGAAAATCCTTCTCGAAGAACTTCATGCCAGTGGACACAACCTCACTGTGATCAGGCCGTCTACCAGCTGGTACATCTCTGAAAAGTCTGATCTTTACACATCCATTACAATTGAAATGGATGAAGATCTTGAGCATTTTTTAGATGGGTCCATAGAGGAATACATCAGGGTATGTGACATCTTTGGCTCCATTTGATGGGGAAATTAAGTAATTTGTGTGTGATAAACATGTTTTAAACACTCTTTCCATTTTTAGATGCAAAGAGAGCGAGCTTCACTGCTGAATTCCTTCAAATGTATAAAAAAATTCCTCTCTATGATTTTTCAATTCCATTCATTGTGGTCTGAGTTCATAAATCAAATCCTTGATGATCAAAATATGGTGAAAATATTAGTAGTTTCCCAGTATGATCTGCTTCTAACTGATCCTGCCATGCCATCAGGGGCTGTTCTAGCCAAATATCTCAAACTTCCATTAGTACTTTATGTACACTGGATCCCTAGAGGGGAAGGCCACTTTGTGTTGACCCCTTCGCCACTCTCGTATATCCCGGTGCTAGGATCTGGTTTAACAGACCAAATGAGCTTTATTCAGAGGATCAAAAATATATTTTTCTATATCTTTACCTTGTTCCAGCAGAACTTTATTTTTCTGCCAATCTATGATGACATGTGTAATAAGTATATTGAGGGTGGATGTGATGTCATCTCAGTACTACAGGAAGCAGACATTTGGTTGTTCAGATCAGATTTTGTGTTCGAGTTCCCTCGCCCCACTATGCCAAACATAGACTATATAGCAGGATTTCAGTGCAAACCAGCTCGGCCTCTGCCAGCAGAGCTGGAGGAGTTTGTTCAGAGTGCCGGGAAGCATGGAGTCATCATCACGAGCCTGGGAACTTATGTCGATGCTTTGCCCAAAGAGGTTACAGATGAAATCGCCAGCGTGTTTGCGGAGATGCCCCAGAAGGTAAAAAATGCTGCAGGCTTTGTTTTGTCTCTTAATTGCACAGGTTAACACTATGCTTATGTAACAGAATGATTCTTCTTGTCAAGTTGCCTCTTCACGTAGAAAGATAAGTGCTCTTACTCAACATTGTGAGCTGAAATGTATTTTTTTTTTGTTTTTCTGTTCAGGTGATCTGGAAGCATAAAGGAGACCGACCCTCTACACTGGGAAACAACACACTAATAGTCGACTGGATGCCACAGAAAGATCTTCTGGGTCATCCACAGACCAAAGTCTTTGTAGCCCATGGAGGAACTAATGGTGTCCAGGAGACCATTTACTATGGGGTCCCTGTGCTCGGCATACCCTGGTTCTTCGACCAGTATGACAACCTTCTACGACTGCAGGAGAGAGGAGCTGGAAAGATTATTCAGCTGGCTGATGTTAATGGCCACAGTTTTGAGCAAGGCCTCAAGGAAGTGATCCATCAAGAGAGCTACAGGCAGAACATTCAAAGACTGTCACGTTTGCACAGAGATCAGCCAATAACACCCATGGAGAAGGCAGTCTTCTGGGTAGAATATGTGATGCGCCACAAAGGGGCTCGTCACCTGCGTACAGAAGCTTATAAGATGCCCTGGTACTCTTACTACTGTTTAGATGTACTGTTCATATTGCTGTCTGTGGTCACTGTGCTGCTTCTCTCTATTGTGGCTGTTTTCAGATTTCTGTGCCGCCAAAGACAAAGAAAGATAAAAACTAAACAAAGCTAATTTTGCTGGGACATTCCAAATATTGTCCCTAGTGTTGTAGTTTCACTGCAAAACATGTTAATTATGACTCTGTATTTTTTTTTCTTAAGTGAAGTGACAATAAAAATTAAAAAAAACCTCTAGAACTACATTTCACACACATTGTGTGCGTGCATTAAAACTGAATTTGGAAAGAAATTAAGTTGCTTTTAAATAAGAATGGAATCTAATGATTTGTAAACCTGGAAATTCAATCCCCAAGTATGCAGTGAAAATCCAAATCTTAAAGTTCTTATCCACAGGAAAACCATTAAAATCTTGGAAGTTGTAATTCAGCAGGAAGACAAAAGAAATCCAAATCCTCTTGGATTTATAATGAACACAGCACAAATAAGCAGAGAAAAAGCTGAATAATACATAACCAAGTTGATCGCTCTGGCATCTCTACTAAAACGTTGAACTAGGTTGATTCTTCTGTACTGCTCATATCACAGGAGACTAAAAGATGAATAAATGATCTCTTCTGCACAAAACTTTTATACCTGGTCCTCCTTTCTCCCCCCTCTCTTTCTGGACGTCAGTGAGATGACATCTAGTCTCACCTGTTGTGATATCCAATCACTTGATGTTAGTAACTCCATCACATATGAATATAATTTTCTTAAGACTTAATTTAGTTTTTACTAATTTACTTCAACAGGATTTATCATCAGCTCAGTCTAACATGAGTATCATGACTCTTTATGATTCCATCTCTTTTTAAATCCCTGTAGGAATACGTTTTCTCTTCACAACTCTGTGTTCGTTAGTCACAATACACTCAAAGGTTTCTTTTTCAAATTATACATGTTAAAGTCAGAGATCCTCTTAGATTAGTGCCTCCTCCGTGTCTCTGTTACTCCCCCCTCCTTTTCTTCTCTCTCTCACATACACACACACACTCACACGCACACATCTTTGCACAACCAAGCCACTCCAAATAGAATCTCAGTGAGAGGCCTGAAATTATAGTCATTGTTATATTTTCTTTTTTGTTGTGTTGGTTACATGTATAACATAAACTATCAGCAAAATCACAGAAATTATGATTCCATATTTAACAGTTACAAATACAATTTCTCTTATTTAAATCGTGCATAATCATGGGCTGGTGACACATTTCACATGGACGTTGCATTTGCTGAGCTTGTCTTCAGCTCTCACTTTATAAAGCCTGCATTTCTGATGGTATGAGGGTACAGATTGATGTTGATGGCCACAGTTTTGAGGAAGGCCTGCAAGAAGTGCTCCATCAAGAGAGCTACAGGCAAAAAATTTAACGAATGTCACGTTTGCACAGAGATCATCCAATAACAGCCATGGAGCAGGCTGTCTTCTGGGTAGAATTTGTGATGCATCACAAAGGAGCTCATCACTTGCGTGCAGAGGGTTATAAGATGCCCTGGTACTCTTACTAGTGTTTAGATGTAATGCTCCTAATGCTGTCTGCAGTCACTGCTCTGCTCCTCTCTATTTTTGTTATTTTCAAATTTCTGTTTTGTAGAAAAGTAAGAAAGAAAAACAAGTAAACAAAGCTAAATGAGACCCATTTTAAAATGAGAAAAAAAATCTTGTATTACCTTGTATTTTCACTAAAATGCAAAACAGTAGTTTACAAAGTTACAAATACATATAAAAATACATTTTCTTAAGAACGTGATACTTTGATTTTGCTACAAAAAATACATATAAAAAATACAAAGAAAAGTCAATTGGACCCACTTTTTAAGAAAACTGCTAAGTAAAATCTTGACATTTTAAACCATTGACAAAAAATCTAATAATCTTTATAAGGGTCTATATATAGCTATCCATCATATTTGATCAGGAATGCCTTTTAAAATTATATTGAATGACTTATACTCATGTAAACACTCTACTGGAAGTTTTTTACATTTTTTATTAATTTATTAAATCTTTATTCAACATCAAAACTAATAAAACCAAATAAAACAAATCAGAGTTAGCCTAACAAACATCCAACTTATTGCACTCTTCACTTACAGAAGTCTTAATGAGACCTCTGGACTCTCCCATGGAGAAAAAAGCATTTAGCTATAGTGTGCTCTGTAGTTTCAAAATAAGGTGCAAAATAAGAGAATGCTGTTTGAGACAACTGCAAAGTATAGAAGATGCATTTATGCAAATAGAAAGGAAATTTAACCAATATTGCTTTTTCTATTAAAATGAAAATAAAAGAGGTCCCATCATTGAGTCTTGGGGCAAGAAACAGGAAAAATCCAAAGAGAAGTGGCAGGCCTGTGCCCAAAGCTAGGAAATGCAGCTGGACAGCAGGACAGCTGAACAGCTCCGTATCAGGAGAGATATGTTGGGGAGGGCCTGCCAGAAAGAACATTCACAGACTACAGGGGTGACCTGAAAATTCAATCTATCTTGTTATAGACAGGTTGTTGATGGACAAAAAGGTACTTTTCAAACACAGGAAAATTCTGTACTGAGCGGTATGTCAGTTGATGCTCTTCCTGGTACAACCCAAAAGGGGATTTGTGTCTCATCCTGGAAACATGAGTCATTTGATTGTTAGGCAAACGTGTAAGCCAAAACACTATAAAGTCACAAATTTTATCAATAAATACAAAGAAATAGATTTCAAATTTGAATAAAAAACCAAAAAATAGGGTAATTGTTTTTAGAATATGCTACAATGTATCTGCTACAGTTATTTGTGAAAATACACTACCTCCTGAACAATATTATCTATGAAAGTTAGGGTTTCAGTGGTGATCCTTTTTAACATCATAGCACTTCTCAAAATCGTCCTTATTCTTTAGTTTATAATTCTTTGGAAACTTTAATTTCCCATTTACTGCAGTCATTCTTAGTATCTGTAACATCTTAAACAATTAGATCACTTTGAACTGAAGCAACCAACATTTTATTTGAGAAATTTAAAATGAGTATATCATTAATGCAAGTATGTCAATGTGTATGCATAAAAAAGGTAAACAAGGCATTTAAAACCCTGAAACTAAATGATCTCCTGTTGCTGGTGAGAAAAGAAAGAAAAAAGACCGGCACACCAAACCCTGTACAGGTGTGGCACCTCTAGACCTCTACCACTCCTTATGTGTTTTACACAAAACCAGGAAGAAAATACAGAGAAGAAGTAAGCAGTATGGGAGGAGTCATCACGTGTCAGTGTTAGTGGCTGATAAACCATAATACCCGTTCAGGCAGAAAGGGTTAACAGGGTTAAAGCAGTAGGTTTAAACAGATAATCTATCCAGATTTAAAGTCACCGCAACTCACAATAAGTTCCAGTAATTGTCAGTGAATTTACTTTCTTACAAATGCCAGACACGAATGTGCCATACAGATAACCGGACTAAAGTTAAGCTCTGGTAGGTTTCATTCTGTTTAAACGTTACAGTTTTACTGTAGAAGTGTAGCAGCTGGATTTTACAAAGTAATTGTTATACACTGCAACTTGAGGCAGGCAAAAACTGCCCTTAAATTACTGGTGATAGTGTTTCTATAAAGAGCAAACACATTAAACAAATAGTTTTTTTTAAGAAGCATTTAGAGATGTTCATGCTGTGTGTCATCTTGCCTGCTAATATGGACCAGTGCCAGGGATGTCTTAAATTCCCTTGAATTTCAAAGTAATTCTGTTGCAATCAGTCAGCTTGCTAATGTTTTAAACCTCATGAGCACATATGTCTCTCAAACAATTATCTCAAGATAATTAAAAAAAAAAATCCAAAATAAATCTTCTCACTGAGTCTGTTAAACTTTCATTGTTTTAAACTAAACATACGACAAACCACTCTCACTGTTCACCTGCCAAGCATAATTTTTATTCTGTAAAAGTCCTGAATGAAATCCAAAAGGGACTAGAAAGCGGCAGGTGTTAGGACCCAGCAGAGACATCAGTAATACCTGCATTTTTTTCCTTCCTGAGGAAATTGAGATGGTTGTTTTTCTCTGGCATGTAAAACCAAAGCAGCAAGAGTGGGTTCACCAAGTGAAACGGTATTATGAAAATTAACTCACAAGTTTGCACTCTGTCTTGAAAATCTATCTGCAAATCGTAGAGGCACTAATGATTAGCTTACACAAAGCCATGATCGGTGCAGCTATTATGAAGTATAATTTTAAAGCGCTTCCCCTGCTTTTTTGGATGTAATGAGCAGCCATTAAGGACCTGTAGCTGACGCCCTACGATTTCAAAGTTTACTAACTTTACTGCAATCTACAGGCACAGCTCCGTGGACAGTCATGTAAGACACATAAAATAGTCCTTCAGAGTGATTACTGGGCATGTATTTTCTTATAAATATTAACATATTTAAAAGGTCTTGTGACAAATGATCAATAGGAGGCAACTTTGATTGTTTCCCCTTTACTTCTTGGTATTTGCTCTTTCTTTTTTTTAGAAGCCTTAATTCGTATAAAAATAAGAAAATACAGTGTACATAAAATACATATTAAAATCTAATAATATTCTTGATGGTTACACAACTCATTTTTATGTATTAAGTACTTTTACTTGTGTCATTTACGCCACTGGACAATACCTAATTATACTTTTTAAAGTAGTGTAGCTTGAAACATCAAGGTTTTAGTAAAGGTTCTAAATTCTTTCTTTGACTGATCCTAAGTGGATCGTAAGAGGAATGTCAGGCCTTTCAACTAGATTTAATGTTCAAATATGGTCAAATAACCTCTAGGTCAAATCCCTGAGGAAACTAAATACATTCCATAAGAGCATGATAGCTTATGTATTTATTATCAGTTTGTCAGTTTGTCTTTTTTGACACGTTAGTCTGCTATAAGCATTGTACTTATGTAACAGCAACAGTCACAAAGGTGCTCACAGTGAAACAGTATCAGTTCTCTGATATCACTAAATTAAATTTAAAAAAAGTGACTTGTCACGTGTCACAGGTAACTAATTTACCAGAGAAAGAACTGCTCTTGTATAACATTGGAGTTTGAACCCATATGTAAGGAATGATGCA